CGGGGGGATAGGGTTTCGACTCACATATGCCCCGCGAACCCGTAGATATACTGCTTCGGGGGAGGGGGGCGGTTTGTGGGCCGCAATAAAAATATTTTCGGGCCGGGCGAGTATACGAGCTCTATTCTAAATAGAAAATTGGACCGAGCCCGTATACTCACTGGAATTTTGCGGGTTCGCAACATATACGGGGTCTGCTAGAGTTGCTCCGGGACTCGTGGCACCCCTCAGCCCCGGGTGCGAAACCCTTCCTCCGCCAGAGGCCACCCAACCCCATCACCCCTCCCTCCGCCACCTAAGGCCACCCAAAGTCCGTGCGGTGCCGGTGCCGGTGGCCCTTTTCTTCTCTCTCGCCTGGTGCAAGAGCTGTGCGGGGTTGCTCAGATGGGCAGAGTAGGTGCTCAACGGCGCGGGTGGGCATGGTTTCAAGATCCGCAAACTGACTGTGCAGATGGCCTTGATCAGATGGGCATCCATGACTAAGAGAGTGTGTCCACATCAGCAGAACCACCGCCAAAACAACTTACTATGAATATGCAGGGGGTGTTTTGTCCGGTTTTGAAAACTTGATGAGATTACGTAAAAAGTTAGCGGAAATATACATACCTCTTGTTTGGCACGTGATAAGCGATGTAAGAAGAGAAAAATAACAAGGGGACGCGTCAAAGCAACAAGTGGAGACCAGCGCTATGATGGCTCGTTATCCTACGGTTGGGAGAGCACCAGCAAGCTAGTCGGCAGTCGATGTGGAAACGCAATGGCATGCAATTTATAGCAAAGACAATATGATAAATTGCAAAAAAGGAGGAATTTTTTTTATAACTTTCATGCTTGTATTAATATTCATCGTGATACATAGTAAGATAGATAGATGAAAACCTTTTTTTCTCATGCTTGTATTGCACATCTAAGTTCTATGTCATTGATCTACACGAAGATTCGTGTAGGTACTTTCCTTTTCCTTTTTATAACAATCTAAAGAACCTGGAAGAAAGAGGCACGTGGCATGGGTAGAGGCCATTAAGATGGGCGGGGTTGTAGTCTTGGATCTCATGTTATACGCTTCTCCTGTCTCCATAAAATAAATAGTATCCTCAGCCACGTCACCACCTGCAAATACCGATCTGCTGAAACGCTTGCTGACGAAAAGTGCATGGCCGTCTAGCCCACCGGACACGGGCACCCAGGTGCTTGTGCTTGCGTCTGCCTCGAAAACCTCCACCTTGCAAGTGAAGCGGGTAGCAAGTTGAGGCCCTTTGATTTGGCGTCTCACCATAAGCAACTTCCCACGTGCACGTGATTCGACCAAGTACCAGATTGTCATGACGACACCATCCTCATCATCGTCGTAGCGCATGCCGTTATATTCTATGTTGTCGCCGGTGCTCTTTCTCGGTTGTTCCAAGCCATGCTCATGATGATCATGATCAACCGTAGAGTGCTTGACGATGCACTCCATACCGGTAACGGTGGGTGCGCCCTTGCCATCAAAGGCGATGTGGAAGGAGAAGAGATCCTCGTCCCGCGTGAGCCCATAGAGTCTGTCATGGAGAAAAGCGATGTCGATGAGACGCGTATAGGGAGCTGTCCTTGGCTGAGGTAGCCACAAACCCTTCCCTGGCTGGACCAAGATGATGGGGTAACTATACTTGTTGGTCCTGACAGCGACGAGGCCCTCGGGTGGCGACCGCATGAGCACCTTGCGAACCTCGAACGGCTTGGAAACATTGCCGATGACCGTGTCTAGCTCGGGGAACGGCACGGTCGTCTTAGAGAAGAAGTTCTCCAACGTGTAGGTATGAGTGCGTGTCTTGGAGTCGGTCAAGTCCATGACGAGCCAGCTATCGGTGGAGCCGATGCAGCGGCAGTTGTCGGGGAAAGCAACGAGCCTGCAGGGGTCGTCTTCAAAGCGCATCAAAAATCCATCTGGAGCTACGAGCCATGGCGTCCGGCGTGGAGAGGGGACCGAGCGCCAGGAACGGCACACCGCTCGGAAACGGGCGCGGTCAACCGGCAAAGCGACTCTGGCGATGACGAGACGCAGGAGATCTTGCGGGAGGTCAGACCACGACGAGATTGACGCCATCGAGGGCCGGGATCAATGATGGTTAACTGTACCTCCTATCCTACTGAATCGCATATAAGCTTGTGCGCCGGAAACAGACATATATAGATGGAACGCTTCGGATTGGGTCCGAATCGTATACCGTATCTTGTCGGAGACGAAAGGGTGTCTTGATTCTGATTGGTCTCCGCTCCGGAGTTCCATGGGTTGGGAGACATCATCGCCGTCTTCCTGGCCCTCTTGGGTGGTGAGGAGCAGGACTGGGAAGCAGGGCAGCAGTAGGCGATTAATCAGTTGAGCTAGCATCTGCTCATGAGGATGACTGAATAAATAATGTAGAGTATGCATTATGCTGTGTGTTAATCTAAGAGTAGTAGTGTTAATTGGATAGATTGACCATGCTAGTTGGTACCCTGCTGCAGCCTGGACTAGCTGGTCGTACTCTCTTTCTCTGTGGTATGATCAGACATGGGTTATATGCATGAAATTGATGTAGGTGAAATTGGTACTGTGGGGATGGCTCCAACGGCTCCTGTACGGTCTGGCGACTCGGGAGGCGACGGGGCGGGCGACGCGCCTCGCCCCAGTGTGTCAGGTGAGTCGGAGGGCTGGTCGGAGGTGAGGTCGTCGGGGCGGCCAGCGCGCGAGGTCCCGGCGGTGGCTCTGGGTGCGGGGGCGTCTCCGCGCTGGGAGGGGAGCCGGTTCTGGGCGCTGTCTGAGGTAAGTGACGGCGAGGTCTCGGAGGCGGAGGAGTCTGATGGCAGTGGCGATTCCGCTGGTCGGCGTCGTGCAGGGTCGAGGCCGGCATTTGGTGAGTTCGTGGCCTTGGCGGAGGAGCTTGGGGGCTCTCTCAAAGCTGGGCGACGCGATGCTTTCACGCCAGGCGGTCGGGGCGCCCGCAGACCAGGGGTGTCGAGACGGGCGCCGGCGTTGCGTGCGGCTGAGGCACCGCGTGCCCGCACGGCGCGGAGGGACGACGAGGTCGTGCCGGCCGTGGTGGCGGCGGCCGCATCCTTGTCGGTGGCGGGGCCGACCCTGACGGCGGATTCACCGCGTGGGGAAGCGCTGGTCGCGGGGCCAAGGGCGGCGGCGGCGGCGGAGCCGCTCGAGACCTGGCCTAGGGTTGGCGAGGTTGGAGAGGCTGGGCTGGTGGACCGGGCCTTGGTTCCGGGCCGGTCGGGCCCATCTGTGCCGTATGTAGCCCAGGGGGTGGGGCAATTGCGGAAGAGACGCGGGCGGTCGTGGACTGTCCAGTGCGGCCCAGGCCCGTCCCTGCCGTGGCGCGGCCAGTACTTAAGTGGCTCTGGATCCGCCGGGGCGCCACTGACTGCGCTCTAGGGTTTCCAGCCACTCCCGCAGAGTTGCGGCGTTTCGGTCGTGTCGCCCGCTCCCTCTCCCCACTTCCCCCTCCTCCACCCCTTGATCGCTCCTTTGCGGAGGTCGTCGCCATGGGATCCAAGGCGGACCGGCGGGCGGACAAGCGGGCGGAGCCGGATCCGGAGGCGGAACGGCGGCGTGAGCGAGATCTGCGCGAGCAAGCTAAGGTGCGGGCGGCGGAGCGCGCCGGTGAGGAGGGCGGCTGGGGGCCTCCCCCTGCCTGGTGGCTCAAGGAGCAGGAGCGCAAGAAGAAAAGGAAGGAGGAATACAAGAATAAGGGCCTGGAGCTCAAGCGCAAGGAATCGCTCCATCCTCATTGCGGCGACCACGTGGGTGACCCGTTCAACAAGCCGAAGATGAAGAAGCACAAGCCGGCGATGAAGGGGGCCTCCAAGCCCTCATCCTCCAAAGGTACGGCGGCGGAGCCAATCCCCGTCGAGGAGTCGGCGGGGCCGGAGTGCTTCCGATGCGGGCGCATGGGCCACTACCAGAACGAGTGCGCCTTCCAGCAACTGTGCGTGCTCTGCAGCACGGAGGGTCATGCGTCGGCGTACTGCCCCACGCGTGGCAAGCAGTTGGTGCTCCAGACCATGGGCCATGCCTTCGCGGGGGGCGGCTTCTTCTGCTTGTCGTACCCAGAGGAGGCGGACGCGGGGGCGTCGGATCTGCTGGGGGTCAACGCGGCGCTGGTGTCGGCTGCGCCCGGCGTCCTGTCGAAGGAAATCCTGGAGGCAGAGCTCCCCCACCTCTTCGAGAGGGAGTGGGATTGGCAGGTGGCTCCGTTCGACGTGGACTGCTACTCGGTGGCGTTCCCAGATCCGGCCTTGCTGAGGATGGCGACGCGCAGCGGCAAGCTGTTTCTCCCCATCAACAACATGACGGTGAACATTCGTGACGCGGTCCTCGCCGAGCCCAAGGCGCTGTCGATGCCGGAGGTGTGGGTCAAGATGTGGGGCATCCCCCTGAAGCAGCGGCGCGCGGAGCGCCTGATGGCGGCCACGACCATGATCGGGCGGCCCCTCGTGGTGGATGATCTGTCCCTGATTCGCTCCGGCCCGGTGCGCATGCGGTTCGCGTGTCGTGTGTCGGCCAAGCTCAGGGGCTCCGTGCAGATCTGGTTCAACGGAGAAGGGTACAACATCAAGCTCAAGCCGGAGCTGGAGTCCCGCCCGGCAGCCCCTGCCCTCCCACCTCCTCCGCCTCCTTCCAGTGGTCGCGGGCCCGATGAGCAGGACAAGGACAAGCAAAATGACAAGGATCACGAGCAGGATGCGAGCATGGAGGAGGACGACTCCATCGACACGGCGGCGTGGGATAAGCTTGGGATCTCCATGGCGGGCCCTGTTGCTCAGGTGGATGGGGCAATGACGGCAGGGGGATCGGTTGGGATCACGATCTCGATCCCCAACCAATATGGCTCCAACCTGGGGTCGGTCTCCTCTCCCCCATGGCGGCCGCAGGTGCGGGTGGAGGTCTGTCCCCGCACGGCCTCTCCCCTGCTCCCTCGCGCCCCCGCCCGGCTGGGTCTCCTGCTTCTGGTGGCCGCGGCTCCACCCTTAGTGGCTCGGTGAAGCCCATGAAGAAGACGGCGGTGCGCAAGGTCAGCGCGGAGGCGGTGCGCGCGATGGAGACGCTGGGGGCGCCTGTCACTCCAAGGCAGTCAGTCATGGCACTGGCGGCCCCGACGGCGCCTCCTCCAGTGGACCAGCTGTTGCAGGACGCCTCCAAGACGGCGATGATCTCGAAGGCCAAGCGCACCAAGACGGTGCCAGCAGTGCCGGTGCGCTCCAGCTCGCGATCCAGGGGGGCCAAGGGCAACATGCCGTCGCTGCAGCGGGCGCAACTCCTCCAAGCCCAGTAGAACATGGAGATCTCAGGTAATCCACCCCCCCGGTTTACGGTTCTTGACGATTTCTCGGACGATCATTTGCATGAGGTGTTAGGTGCGAGCGGTGTGGATCCCACCTGTGTAGGAGGGGCTAGAGAGTTAATCTCGCTTGTACACGCTAAGGAGTTAGCGCAGGCTGCGCTCGCGGCTGCTGCTGCAGAGCGTGCTGAGCAGAGACCCCGGGTTCCCAAGGGAGGGGACTCCGCGGTGATCTCTGTGCCCGAAGAGGGGGGACAGGCAACAGGGGTTGCCCCCTCTCCCACGCCTTGCAGGGGCAAGACGAGGCGAGTGGCAAAAGCGGTCACCTCCAGGGGTGTCCGGCTTCGGAATCGCGTGATTTAGATGCGAGCCTTGTTCTAGAATATTCGCGGTTTCGGCCACGTAGGATGGCGCACCCAACTGAAATAATACATGCGCAAAGAAGACGTAGATATCGTAGGGCTCCAAGAGACGATTAAGGCGGATTTTCGTTTCCACGAATTGCTTGCGATCGACCCTTTGGAGCATTTCGAGTGGCAGCATGTACCTGCTGTAGGGCACTCGGGTGGCATGCTGCTGGGCTTGAGCCGAGCCCTGTACGAGATTATTTCCTGGGACGTAGGTTCGTTCTTTATCGCGGCACATTTTCGTATTCGGGCCTCGCTTCGCGAGCTAGTGGTCATACAAGTATATGGACCGGCCGATCATTCTCGTTCGACGGAGTTCTTGGCGGAACTCCAGGCCAAAGTCACCACGGTGACCGCTGCCGCGCTCCCTGTTCTAGTGGGTGGAGATTTCAACCTTATCCGATCGGGAGCTGACAAGAACAACAACAATATAAACTGGCCTAGGGTGGCCATGTTTAACTCCGCCATTGCTTCCATGGCCCTAAGGCAGGTGGCCAGGTCGGGCGCGAGGTTCACTTGGACGAACAAACAACTCGATCTGGTGCGATCAGTGCTGGACAGGGTGTTCATGTCGCCGGAGTGGGAAATGGGCTTCCCTCTCTGTACATTGGTCGCGGAGACGCGCATAGGCTCTGACCATGCACCGCTCGTCTATTCCTCAGGGGAGGAGAGGATGCGGCGCAGCTCATGCTTCTTCTTCGAAACAGCCTGGTTCGAAGTTCCCGGCTTCGAGGAGATTTTCAGGGAGAAATGGTGCGCGTGTGTTAATTCGATAGGGAGTTTTGGAACGCGCTGGGGGCCGGCTCAGGGCTAGCCTCAAGGGATGGGGCGCAAACCTAGGGAGGAGTGACAAAGAGCGCTGCGCCGCGATCCTTGCGGAAATCGCAAGGGTAGATGCAATGGCCGATGCTAGGGCCCTTTCAGAGCAGGAATGGGCTCACCGTTATGATCTGGAGGGTCAGATCGAAGCTTCACTTCGCGTGGAGGAAGAATACTGGCGCAGACGAAGTGGTCTGAAGTGGGTTTTGAAGGGCGACGCCAACACTAAGTATTTCCAGGCTTATGCTAACGGGCGTCATCGGAAGTGTTCCATCCTAAGGTTGCAATCAGAGCAGGGGCTTCTGTTGCGACAGGAGGACATCTCCCGACACATATACGAGTTCTACATCAGTTTGATGGGCACGTGCGAGGCCCGGGGGCGGGCCTCCGTGCGGACATTTGGGAGGACTCGCAGCGTGTGTTGGACCGTGAGAACGACGCGCTGGGGCTCGTGTTCCTGCCAGAAGAGATCGACGCCGCTCTTCTCGGTATGAAAGTGGACACGGCGCCGGGCCGAGACGGGTGGCCGGTGGCGATGTTCAAGCGCTTCT